AATTTTTTTTTTTTTTTTTTTTTTTTTACAATGAACATGTGTTGCTTTCATAATCAAAAAACAAGAAAGGTCAATGCACTGACCCAGCTTCACTGACGTAATGTGGGTTTGTGGCTGGGAGCTGTCCTCTGGGTTTATGGCTTCGGGGCACCTGATTCTGTTCCTACATTGGACGGAACGGCAAGGAAAGCGTATGGGTCATTCATGGTCTGTTTCTGGGGGTGGATGGGGAGAGAGCGGCTGGCCCCGGGCTGTCAGGAAGCAGCGGCGCTGAGGCTGCCTGCACATACCTTCCCATAGAGCTGTTCCATATCTTCTGCGTTCCTCACAATCACATTGTTGTTTATCATCTCGGCCCGGAATATTCTAAAGTCCTTCTGAGGACCACAGTCCTGACCGAAAGGGATCGGCAGTGGAGACTCACAGCTCTCATACACTCTTCTTTTCCTCCTTGGGGGACGGAAAACTGCCTCTGCCATTTTCCAAGGTAACTGTTCTTTAAAGACTGTAATAGGGAGAAAGAAACAAGTCAATCAATAACTGTACTGACCAAACATGTGAGTACATTTATATCCAGGCTCAGAAAACCTTGTGGTCTGTGGGAAAAATATTTATAAAGCAGTGAACAAAAAGAGAGAGTAGCGAGAAGATTTTGTTTGCGCAGCACAAAGCCTACCCACCTCGGGTATCTCGATTACTTCCCACGACAATGCCGTGGTACCATTTCTCATTACGGTTGACGAGACTGAGGCCTAGTGACACGTCCATGGTCACAGTGCCACTCGTAGGTCTCCTGACAGCGAGCACAAGAGGATTTCTGCCCATGAGGATTCCTCCCAGCCTCTCAAGCGGCCAACAGACATTTACCGAGCACCCACCAGAGGCTCACAATCATCAGAGGTGCTAGGGATATAAAGAGAATACCAAAAGGACCCTGTCCTCAAAGAAGTAAATCTAGTGAGCACCTCCTTTTCCAAAAAAGGACCTTAAAATACGTTCCAAACATTTGGTCAATCATCTCCCAGTTTTTCAGGTAAATTAATAATAGTAACAACAGCAGCAGCAGTCATCATTTAAGGGTCTATTCCTCAGCACCAAGCGTGAGCGGCTAAGGGCAGGAAGTGTCAAGCCAGCGCGCAGGGATGGGAATCGGCTTCACCACCGCCCAGCTGTGTGATGTGGGGCAAAAGTTACTTGATCTCTCTGTGCTTTGGTTTCCCCATCTGCAAAATAAGGATAAATACAGACTCCATATTATAGTTTAGACCCACAGGAGCTTAGAACAGTCCCGGCACGCAGCACTGAGTGCTCTGCACGTTCACTATGATTACTATTCTGGCACTATTACTATTAGCACTAAGAACACCGTGTGACAGATGAGGAAACAGAGCCAGGTTAGACAGATGTTGTCAGAGGCCTGGAGGGTGGTGGCCCTGGATGACCCCAGGTCTGCTGAACGCCAAAGGCCACGCTATTCCCTCTGGGTTCCGCTGTGAGCACAGGCAGGCCTCCTCTTGTTTGAAGGCTCGCTGTTTCCCCAGGTTAGGGGCTGAAGGGTTACAGAGAATTATGGAGAATTATGGAACTACCATGCGCCCAGCACTATGAGGGAGGAAAGGAAGGCGAAGCGAGTACCTCTCCCTTCCAGGCCTTACCCTCAACCCGAGGAGACAAAACAAGGACAAAACGCACACAGGCTGCACTTCAATAATGGCTGGGGGAAGGAAGTCAAGTTGAGTGCATTGTACGATAAAGACAGAGCCACAGCAGATGCATTTAACTCAGGAAAACTCAACCACATGCAAGGGGGAAACACAGACAGTGCAGGGGACTGGGTCAGGTGCTCCACTCATTGGGCAGGTGCCCTGGAATGAGACAGGGGACCTGAATCTGCTGCACCCTCAGTCCCGGCTCTGGACCCGACTTACACGGACAGCACATCTGGTGCTTGAAGATACAGTGGGGCTGTATCACACATGTGTTTAGCCTCCATGGCTCCAAACCCTCACAGGGGAACACATACGACTGATTATTTAGGTGCCTCCTGCACTCAGTACCAGCATCCTGTTGGGCAAAGGATGTAATCAAGCCTGAAACAGCCAACGAAGGTGGCCAAAGCTGAGGCAGGAAGCTGAGTGGCTTTAAGGGTTTACGCCCATTAAAAAGAAATCAAAAGCCTTGTCCAATGTGTAATGATTCCTTTATCCACCCTCCCAAATATGTTGAGGAATTAAATGAGGACAAACAAAAACAAAGACCAAGGAAGTTAGAGACATTGATAAATCAATTATAAAAGTAACAATAAAATGTAAGAATCAGAAAGTTGGAACTGTCATAGAATTGCCAAAGTATTCCAAGCAGCAAAATGCTAAAATAATTTACTTCTAAATAAGAGTCCTTCAATGGAATTAAATAATGAGCACAACTGTGTGCATTTTGCATACATCTATGTGTGTGTGTGTGTATACACACACACACACATCGCTATATAGCGTTCATAACAGGACTATGTATACCACATGTTAATGGGCAATTAAGATTTCCTCCCAAGGGCACTTTAAGTAGATTTTCATTTGCCAATTTATCACTCAACCCAAGCAACTACAGTTGACCCCTGAACAACATGGGATTTAACTGCATGGGTGCACTTACACCCAGATCTTTTTCAAGAGTAGATGTTACAGCACTACACCATCCACAGCTGGTCGAATCCACAGATGCAGAACCTCGGATATGAAGGAACCAGGGATACAGAGGGCCGACTATAAATTACACTCAGATTTTTGACTGCAGAGAAGGTCAGAGCCCTGACCCCCTGCGTTGTTCAAGGGTCAATTGTACTGCATTTAGCATTCAATTGAAGAAATGGCAATTTGTTCTAAAAATTAAAATGATGTTGTATTGGCTTTTTTGAGGCAGGATGTGGGTCTCTAGTGAGGCACCTTCTAGGGATTTCCAGGAATAATTCGAACTTTTATGATCATTGCACTTTTATAACTTAACCTCTGGTTAGTATTTGATTTGTATATATTACATTTGAGGTTTTTAAGAAAGAGAAAATTTTAATGGCTAACTTCAACAACTTGCAATTAAATTCTCTCAAACAAGTGAAAGAGTTCTGTTTCAATTTGCCTGGTTTGTTTAGATTTTCCCTTTCAGATTGCTATTACACTCTCAACAACAACAACAAAAGGCAAAAATGAGCTATGACACTTGATGGCAAGAACTCTGTACTCCTACCCAAGTTTGCATGGCAGAAGGTTCCTGCCACAAAAGATTCCCAGTTTTTCACAAAACCTCAAAATCCCAGGTTTAGTGCCACCTCTGCACATGAGACAGCAAAGCACATCAAGAATGTGGCTCTTAGTAGGCCTTCCATATATGCAAAGCTGCCATTACGATCATGGGACTTTCAACAGCCCACGTAAAGCTCCCTGAACCCAGTTTCTTCCTCTTCAAATTGAACAGAACTAGAAAACAGTCTGGAAGCCACTCGAATGCTAAACACTAAGTAACCATATGACCCAGCAATTCCACTCCTGGGTAGATAAAAGAAAACTGAAAACATGTTCGTACAAAAATTTGTACACAGGACTTCCCTGGTGGTGCAGTGGTTAAGAATCTACCTGCCAAGGCAGGGGACATGGGTTTGAGCCCTGGTCCAGAAGGATCTCACATGCCGCGGAGCAACTAAGTCCGTGTGCCACAACTACTGAGCCTGCGCTCCAGAGCCCGGGAGCCACAACTACTGAGCCCACATGCCACAACGACTGAAGTCCGTGAACCTAGAGCCCGTGCTCCGCAACGAGATGCCACCGCAATGAGAAGCCTGTGCACCGCAACGAAGAGTAGCCCCCGCTCGCCACAACTAGAGAAAGCCCACGCGCAGCAACGGAGACCCAATGCAGCCAAAAATAAATAAATTAATAAATTTTTAAAGATATATGTACATGAATGTTTAGAGCAGTATTGTTCGTAATAGTCAAAAAGCAGAAACAACCGGGATGTCCATCAAGAGATGAATGGATCAACAAAATGGGTTATATCCATATAATGGAACATTACCAGCAATTAACAGAGGAATGAAGTAATGATACAGACTACAACGTGTGTGAACCTTGAGAGCATTAGGTGGAGTGAAAGGAACCAGTCACAAAAGACCACACATTGTATAAGACCATTAATATGAAACGTCCGGAACAGGCAAATCCAAAGGGCAACACCAAGTAGATTAGGGGCTGCCAGGTGCTGGGGGAAGGGAGCTATGGGGAATGACTGCCCATAGGTATGGGGTTTATTTTGAGGGATGAAAAAGCTGTACAATTAGATTGCATTGATGGTGTTGGCTGCACAACTCTGAATGTATTAAAATCACTGAACTGTACATTTCACAAGGGTTAATTTTACGGTATATGAATCATCTCTCAATAAAGCTGAAAAAATTCAACAGGACAAACCAGAAGATCTCTCGTGTCCTAGTTTCATAGAAGAGGTGCCTTGTGCGGAACTTGGAAAGCAAAGCAGGGGAGAAAGGATTCAGTTTTTCTCCATATCTGCAATAGGCGTTTCAGAAATGTTTCTTCAGTGCCAAGACAGGAGACCAGCATGACGGGAGATGTGGGATGTGAGTACAATTACAACAGCTAACCATCACTTGGAGGTACAACATGCCAGGCACCGACTGTGCCAACGCTACACACGTGGGTACCACTACCCGCATTTCACAGATGAGTAAATGGAGGCTTAGAGAGAGCAGGTCACTTGGCCACAGCGCCACAGCTGGGAAGATGAGAGGCCAGTAAGGCAGGGAGACAGGGCACGGTGAGAAGACTGGCTTCAAAGAGGACCCCTGTATGAAGCACACACAAATGTATAGGAAGGACTGGGCCATTGGTCAGGGGGTTTGGGATGTGAAGGCTTGATGCCTGTGCAGCTTCTCAAGCCGGGAATGACAACTGAAAAGATTAAGAGGGAATTCCCTGGCGGTCCTGTGGTTAGGAGTCCATGCGTTCACTGCTGAGGGGCCAGGTTCAATCCCTGGTTGGGGAACTAAGATCCCACAAGCCACTTGGCAGGGCAGAGGGAAAAAAAAAAAAGTTTAAAAGAAAAGATTAAGAAAATTAAACTGGGGTCATATATAACAGTGGCTCTCAAGGCTTGGCTGCCCTTAGAATCACCTGGGGAAATTCTGAAACTTCCAATGCCCAGGCCTTACCTATAATTACATCAGAAAGTCTGGGGTGGGACCCAGGTGATTTCAATATGTAGCCAAAGTTGTCAACTACAGGTGATAGGATGGCCTATTCAAACTCAGTGCCAACAGCCAACTCCACTGTACAGGTGAGGAAAGGGACTCAGTGGTTGACTGCTACACACATGTAAGGAAGGAGCTGTTACTTTTCCTCTTCTAAACCTGGGCATACCAACTCGAGGCACCAATAACGTTAAGTACATTTACTTTTCTATCAGAATCAGGACT